AGTGGGGGGATGATTCGGGCCTCAGGCAGGAAGATTTGGGGGACCCGGGTTCGAATCCCCGGGAGATCGCGCCACGGGGGCGCAATCGTGGCTGGTTGACTCCAAGCCATGATCGATGTAGCCAGGTTTGTTTCCTCCTCCATAACTGGCCACGAACTGGCCCCATCTTTGGTAGCCTTCTTGGAAGTCCCTCAAAACAGGGTTATGTCCCCGGGGGGCGCTTTCAAGGACTTGGTGGCCCCATGGTCACCCCGAGGGTGCTCTCTCCTAGCCTTTTTTAACAAAACATATCGATGTTCCCCTTGTGGAACGAATTTAATGTTTGTTTTTTATGGCGGTGCTTCATTGTACGCCGCCCAGAGTTACGCTGGTGAGACGGGCGGCTACGTAACTGCGAGGAATAAATAAATAAATAAAGTGAAATCATATTAAAAAAAAACCCTTAAGAAGTACAGTCAAAGGATCAGCAGGATGTGCTAAGCAACAACCAAGCGGATGGTTTAGTGCGAAGTGGGAACCATGTTGCTCCCTCCCTATTTAAAAAAAAAAAAGGCGTAGCTGAGTTTGCAAACTTTGACCCGCTTGGCTCAAAGGGGTTGGGTTGGGCTGGGTGGTTCAGGGACTTGCGGGGAACCTTGGCGTGTGCTTTGAACCAGCAATCCCTGTTAGGCCCTGCTCTGGTTTGGGCATCCCGTCAATTCTCTTTTTTTCTTTCTTTCTTTCTTTCTTTCTTTCTTTCTTTCTTTCTTTCTTTCTTTCTTTCTTTCTTTCTTTCTTTCTTTCTTTCTTTCTTTCTTTCTTTTTCTCCCCGCCCATCTCCCTCCAACGGGAGATTATTACAGTCAAAGACCAGCAGAAGGAGGGTGGGGTACAGTCAATTTACAAAGCGTAGAAAATGTATCGGAAAAATAATAATAATGATGAAAGATCTAAAATAGGAAGGATGTATCTAAAAGGGATCGAAAGGAAACATGATGAAAAGTTAGACGTTATTAAAAATATACGTATTGAAACAGAAAGGATATCTAAAAAAACAAGAGTCTAAAAGGATCTAAAAGTGTTGGTGGTTTCAGCTTTGCATCTTATGTGGATGTGGCAGTTGTGTTTCTGTTAACCCAGCCCAAGGGGTGCTTAGCGGTTGTGTGAACCCCTTCTGGGAGTGCTGAATCTGAGGTCAGAACTTCCTTTTTCCAGATTTTCTCAAAGCTTCTGAAGGTTTTTCTTCTTCCTGATTTTCTTCTCTACATCTTCAGCCATCCTGCCTTTTGACTGGGAGGGGGGGCACCCTCTGGCCCATTGGTTCATGGATGCATTGCAATTGTTTATCACCTGCATTTCAAGGTTACCCCCCCCCCCCACCAACCCACCACCCCTTCGGGGGAGGCCGGGG